CGGGTTCGTTACCGGTCGTACGGTTCCCGTACCTTACGGTCGGTAACGTACGTAGGTACGAAACGGTACGAACGGACGTTACGTTCGGTCCCGTACCTTTCCCGGTACCCTTTCCCTAACGTACCTAAACCGAACCGTAAAACGGAAACCGTAAACCCGGTAACGGTTAACGTAACGGGTTAACCGGGTACCGGTACCGTTACCCGTTCCGTACCGTACGTTACGTCGTACCAACGTAACGTAACGGTAAGTACGTAACGTTAACGTAACTAAAACGTACGTTAACGTACCGTTCGTACGTTCGTACCGTACGTTAACGTTAACTTAACGTAACGTTAACGTTAGGTTCCGGTTACGTACGGTACGTACCGTTAACGTTACTTAAACCGTACCGTAAACGTTAACGTTTAACCTTAACCGTTTAACCTTACTTAACCGTTTAACCGTTACCCGGTTACGGTTAACCGGTTTAACCCGGGTTACCCGTACCGTTAACGGTAACCGTACGGTAAACGGTAACGTTACGTACGTACGGTACGTACCGTACTTAACCTTTACTAACCGTACGGTTACGGTCGTAACCGTAACCGTTAACCGTACCGTAACTTACCGTTACCGGTTTTTACGTTTACGTTACGTTACGTACGTTAGTACGTAGGTACGTAGTAGTCGTACCACGTACACACGACACACGACTACACTACAACTACAACACACACTACACTACGACAACACTACGACACACACACACACACACACACACACACACACACACACACACACACACACACACACACACACACACACACACACACACACACACACACACACACACACAGATCAGTGGGGCTGTGAGAGTGACAGACAGACCTGCATATTGCTGGACTCCTGTGTAAGCCTGCTGGAGAGGATCAGCTGCAGTGGGACTTTGAGCTGCTCCACGAAAAGGAGAAGAGGAAAGAGGAGGAGGTGGTGGTGGTGAAAGGGGGGGGCATGGATGGATGGAGGTGTGTGTGTAGGGGGAGAGAAATGAGGTGGAGAGAGACGGAGGGAGAATGTAGATTGAGGAGAGGGCACGGAGGAAGGCGAGAGTAATATATAACCGGGGTGAGGGTGGGGGGGAGAGGCGATGCAGAGAAGAACAGACAGGAGAAGAAAAGCAGAAAGGTTAGAGAGACGAGCAGAGAGGCGTCCGCTCTGCTTTCAGCATGTGAGGAACTGGACTCTGAATGTCTTTTACTTTATGTTCCTCCTAAAGCATTTTAAAAGTAGCAACAAATAAATCCCAGACAAGCATGAAAGTAAAACTTTGAAAGACCACAGTTTGAACAAAAAACAACACTTAGCTCCACTGTCACCACAGGAAAGTAAAACATAATGTCTCCTATTATAAACAAGTCCTATGAGCAAGATATATATTTATTTTTCTGACAGAAAACAAGACAATTACAACACACACTCACAACACTGGATGCACCTGTTGCTATCACGTCACATGTGGGAGATACAGTTAATTATATCAAAATTAAAAGGGAACCAAACACTTGTAGCTACCACAGATGCCGCGCCACACTTATTAACTACCCATCTGTACACATGCACTTTAAGAACACCACTGAGAAAACACACACACACACAAGTACACCGAAAACCATGTACACACACTGATTACCCAGCTAACACCAAAAACCAAAGATACTGAACACACCGAGGACTAACAGCAACACTGAAACACTGCCAGACGAAAGGGGAGAAGTGTTATGGGCTCACATAAAGGTCAATCAATTCAAAGCTTGTGAAATCATGTTCAAAAAGCCAGTGCTTGTATTATCCTTTGAAAAGTATTTTGCATGAAGAATAGAGAGTTTTGGAATAACTACAAAATATTTGTTATTGTAAATAAAACTATTCTTATCTCTAAATAGAAGTTGTGGACTAATAAAATCAAGGTTACACACAGATTTAAAGACAAGAGAACTGAGAAACACCGTGTGAAACTAAAATGACACAAAACAAGAGTACAGATGCAAGTCTCGCACTTAGTTGGTGTCTGAGTGTGGGAGGCGTGATGCCGTTTTCACCTTTAAATTTAAACTCCATTTTCACCTCAACTCAAAATCTTTACTTGACAGTCAAAACAAAAGCAGATTTTTCACAGGTTTTCAAACGGTGACATGAACAGCCTTTGCTATGACATGCCCCAGATGATTTCACAAGCTCAAAATCGTATTGACCTTTATTTGAGCACATGGGGACAAGGGATGAGGGAGTAGGATAGAGGTGAGGATGTGGGGGAGGGAGAGAAGTGCTACCTTCAGAGAGAGAGGACAGGAAGCAGCCACCCTGAACCCCAAAACAACTCCGCGGAGCCACGCCCAATCCGTTTTTCTCCGAGTCCTCCCTAAAAACCAACTCCTGCAACACTGGAGAGACAAGAGTGTAGAAAAAAAAACAGATTTTTCTTCCACCACTTCACACACAAAAACCAATGAGGTACTATCCACGGCTCATGACACAAGCGCATACTTAGGCTCCAGCAGCCCATAAGCACCTTTGCCAAACACTCATCTCCTCGACATGCTGACTGTCTGCGGGCTAAATTCGTCTGGCCTCGGCCTCCTGAACATGCTTCAAGGCTATTCACGCCTGTGAGCCAGCAGCATGCACACTTTCCCGTTACAATGAATGCGTTTACTACAGAGTGTGTCTCTAAGGATTTAGGCTTCATGGTTTAACATGACAAACAAGGTATTCATAATTTATACAGCGTTATCTTTCTCCAAGAGCCGTGTTGCGTGTTTGCAAACATGCCCCTTGAATTCGTCGGACTTACCAGGGTAATGGTGTATCCCGTTGGTGAAGACAGCCTCTGTGGGAGGCTGTCCGTTTGCCTGGGGGGGCGGCATGCCAGTAAAACCATTTACACTAATGGGGGAGGGGATGCTGGTCACTGTGGGGGCGTTGATGCCTGGAGGGGTACTGCCACCTGCAGCCACGGGTCAGAGAGGCAAAGAGAGAAACAGTGAGCATTCCTCAGTATGTTTTTAGGACATTATAGAAAAGTCTTTGCTTTGATGGGACACCTAGTAACTCTTGGAAATGTCAGAGGGCTCGGCCCAGTGGGCCGGTGACAACACTAAATGTCAGGGCAGATTCTCTTGTCCCAGTGTGTGCCTTACTGTGACACAATGGCAATTAGATAGAAATCTTACTGACATAGTGTATACTAATAATGTACACTGCTTTGATGCTATCTTATGTGTGCCAATAATGTATTTGTTTTAGATGAGTGAAATGCCCGCAATGCATCTAGAACCATGTGTGGATCTGGTAAACAAATATTAGCACACTAAAAAAAACGTTTCCTCTGAAATGCTACAGTAGGGCATTAAAGGAACTCATTGTTTCTTTACTTATAACATATTACATTGCTGTTTTAAAGGCATCTAAAACATTTGAAGGATAGATTTTGTTTATTGCCTTGAAAATAAATCTGATTTGTTTTGTTAGAAATTCAGTTTTGCTGTAAATTCAGAGTATTATTTAAACATAAAAGTACAAATTGTATTTGTTAAGTAATCGGCTAGAATTTTGGAGATGAATAAGGCTGTTTGTTGTCTATGTCAAATGCAGCTAAAGTACCGTAAGCTTGTCACTTGGTGAGGCACAGGATTGTTTAAGATATGGCTATATCAATTCACTTAAGCAAATGCTTTCTTTGCTAAAGTGCACGGCCCTTTAACCTTTGGTCTTTCCCCACTGTTACCTGACGTCGGGGTCATCGGTCCTCCTGGGATGCCATTCATGGTCGCCATGTGCTGCATCTGGGCAGCAGCAAAGGCCGCCATCGGACTGAGGTAGCCTTGCTGACCTACAGACGCCATCAGTGCTGCCTGCTGCTGCACCTGCACAGTGGTGGAGAGGGGCTATGGAGAATATTGTAGGGAGAGAAGAAAATGTTACAATCGAGAAACTAAGAGATAAGGAAAACGTTAAAAGTAGTGGGGTATACAAGCAGAGATGGCAAAAGTACACACATCCTTTACTCAAGTAGAAGTGCAGATACTCGTGTTTAAAAATACTCTGGTCAAAGTAGAAGTACTGACTAAACTCAAGAAGTATGGGCTTCGAAATGTACTCAAGTAAAAAAACGGACCTCCCTTTATATTAATAGAAAAATAATGTCATTGTTGGCTAATGAACGTTTCGATGCTGAACAACGGCAACATGACAACGTTTTCATTGGTCCCTCTTCTTTAGAGAAGACCAGCAAATGATGTATACACGGATCGTGTTAAAATCAATAGGCACGCAATGACTCTGAATAATAATGATCACGCCACCAAACGCAGATTAAAACTAAAGTAACCAGCATGTTTTGAAAATGTAAGAAGTAGAAAGTACAGGTATTTGTGTTCAAAATGTAAGAAGTAAAAGTAAAAAGTCATCATAAAAATAAATAGTAGAGTAAAGTACTGATACCAGACAAATGTACTTAAGTACAGTAACAAAGTATTTGTACTCCACTACTTCCCACCTCTATATACAAGTTAAAAAAAGACAGTGACTACAAGATAAAAGCAAGTTATTGAACATCTTAAAATGTGTTTGTTCCTTTTTTCCCGAAACAACATTTAGAGCTAATCTTTTTCTGTTGCTTTTTGCAGATCCAAATATGAGCTAGGCTTGAGCACTCTAGTCTGTGTGGTTCATTGCTTGAATAACTGTGGATAAAGAAGACGTTTAGCGGGGCGCCTTGCCTGAGCGTAGGCTCCGTAGGCTCCAAACTGCAGGGCCATAGGGTTGAAGATGCCCATCTGACCGGCCATCTGCTGCATGCGGCGGATGGTGCGCTCCTTATCCGTGTCGGCGAACTTCACCACCAGACTGGATGACGCACCCTGTGCACCAACCCATCCACCCGCCCACACATGCACACACAAACACCACGCAGAACATGTAAGTGAGTATGGACACACGTGACATAAGCTTGCACTTCACACAAATCCTTTCCTGCCAAGGCAATGGCGTAATTTGGCACCAATTGCCTTGGAATAGTTACGATGGGTCATTTGCAAAGGACGAATTTCCTAACTGGGATTAATAAAGTATAGCTTAACTTTAAGATGGTAATCAAGCTCTATGTGACTCATCTCTCTACGTGACTTACCTCTCTAACATAAATCTACATGCTCACAGTTAGGATGTACTCACAGGCATTGTCTGGCTGCCGTGGAGCGCACTGATGGCGGCCTGAGCTTCAGCATGAGAAGAGTATTTTACAAACGCACAGCCTAAAGAGAGAGCGAGAAGGGAGACCATTAGTAAAGGGAAACAAAAAAGTGTGAACAAAAGAGGAGAGTTTGCTCATACAGTATCACCGCAGAACATTAACGGTAACAAGACAAAAGACAAACATTTCCTGAGATCATTGTTCACCTTGGAAAAGTTTCCCACTGCAGCAACTAACATTCAGTAAACAAAGCTCTCTTTGCTGAGATCCACGCTCAATAAGTGGGCAAAACATCCCACTCTGACACCATTAACAACTTTGTGATCCTCGGATGGGACTTAAAATGCCACAGCGTTCTGGTGTCGCTTACTATTGACAAACCCCGTTGATGAATTTGAATGATCAACTTCCCAGTAATTATTGAGCTAAAGCCCACTTAGCAGAGTAAGCTGGCGGATGAGGCCTTGTTAATGGAGCTTCACGGACGAATCAGAATGATCAAGCCCACTGTAATCATCAGGCTTAGTTATCATCGGACCCCATTGATTGGTTGCTAAGCCCGCTGATGAACTTCATGCATTGAACTTGTTACACTCTGACAAAATATCGAAAGGACATTTTTTTTGGCATGACATGAAGCCTGGTGGTTAATAAGGCCGTTGACTAATCTTTTTCTTCTTCATTAGAGCCATGTAAGGTTAATGGGGTTCATCCGTGAAGAGTTGGTGGTTTGTATCTCTTATCCCTGTGGGCAAAGCCTTCAAATGGCATTTGCTGTTGGAAATGTACAGAAACTACAGTTTCTTTATGTAACCGCACCTCGGGTGGTTGTGAAATGTGCCCGCTTTGACAACACTCAACATGGTGTGTTTAAGGAGAACTTTGCAAAGTCACCAACTTTGAAAGGCCAAATCATTTCTGTGCAGTAGCCTGTGAAAAAAATGCTGCTGGCTCAAAGTCATAAACTGCTATAAACTCACCTTTGCTGTTTCCGTCGGGACCTCTGAGGATGGTGCATTCCTCGATGCTGCCGAAGGACTCGAAAAGGCGCCGCACGTCATCTTCTGACTGCTGCTTGTTGAGCATGCCAACAAAGAGCTTTCTGTCTTCTAATAGGAAAAGGAATAGGTCACGATCAGAGGATCAGAGATGCCTTTTGATATTCTACAGAAAGGCACGCCATGTTCACTGAAATAGCAGCTTTTTTCATCCTTACCTGCATGCAAAATGTCATAAAAGAGACTGTATATGATTTCCAAAGTAACACATGTTATCCACCCATTTCTTCTCATGTCTTTAGATCTCACTTGTGTTTAAATGACGCCATTGGCTTGAAGCTATTTGCTTAAATTACATTTTCTTGATGAGTATGCTAAGGGTTCATGGTCATACGTAGGTGTTCATCTCCATTTGGAAAACATCAGCAGTGCAATAACAATAAAATGACAATTAAAATGTTCATAACAAGTCAGTGACAGATGCTGATAATTACGTCACATAAACAACATGTATCATTTTAAAATAGTTGCTGAAGTAAAAGCATGGGTTTCCTAGTAAACCTGGTTTAGTTTGGACATATTTTCCTCTCTATTTCCATTACAAATGTGTAGTGTTAGATTAAATCATGATCAATACAAGAAAATCTTTTTTTCTGTCCTGTGGGAACACGCTTGGCGCCGTGCCCTCAGCGTGAGTCCTGGTCCCAGATGGTCATGGTGCTGCATTTCAACGTCTGATAATAACAACAAGATGCTCGCTCACGCCATACAGCACTGCCTCATCGACTTGTTTTAGAACTTCTATTTTTATTTTGTTATTGTGTCTTTATTATTATATATATAAAAAACTACTGCTTATTTTGCTAAATGGTTAGGTCGAGTGAATGTTGAGGTTATCCAATTATTCCATTTCTTTATCCGTGGTATCTTGCTGCATAAAATCAGCATTTTTAGCTTGTAATAATGTCATGTCCAAGACAAGCAGTGTTAAAAGCAATCTTATTTCTGTTTCAGGGTGAAACCTTAACATCATTTCATAGAGCTGTGGTACTGTATTATATCTAAAAGTGATAGAAGAATAAACTATGATCTCTAGTTTATCTTTGATATTATATATGTGAATTCTGCACAAAAAAAAGGGAATGGTAAATCCAGTCTTCAATTTTCTTCGATCACATTTTATGTTCACATAGCTATCAGTACATGGCATAAAGAGAGACAACATCTCTGTGACTCTTTGACCTGATGTTTCTGTCTGATATGACAAATACATTGAGGCTAACAATGGCTTGTCAGACAATCCCTGGGTCTGTCTTATCAGGCTAATCGGCCAATTTCAGTACATCAAGTACAACCTGTGAGGAATTGTGCCTGTCACAGTTATTAGACAGGCAGACGCGCCGGTGTGCCTGTCCTCAGGTCAGAACATGATTAAAATGTAATGGAAGTCTAAGTTAAGTTCCACAGCAAGTCTGTCCGCGGGGCTCTGTTTACATGTGATTGTTATTATTATTAAATATGCATCGCAGACAGGATGCTAGTGCCTGCTGCACAATAATGAGGCCGCAAGTTTCACAGAGAAATAAATTAGATACAAATAAATATACTCCAACAGAAATAACAAGTCAAAGGTTATGTTGAATCCAGCAGACAATTACAGGATTGTGGGGTTGATGAGGGGAAAACTGGATTTTACACAGGAAGTGATTAGCAGACTTTCCCCCAACATGGATACTGGAAAACATATACAAATAAAATGCCCACTTTCTGTAAAGGGACACGTTATGTAACTGGAAATATGTATCATTATGTTCATGCTATAAAGCCACCGATCACCAATTTAACACATTTCATTGTGTATTTCTCTTTTTAGACACATATCATAGCAACCACTCTTTTGCACATGGCAACTGCCGTCCTCTTCTTTCCTGAAGTTAAAGTTGGCATTTGAGAACATTTTGTGAAAAGTGGAAGAAAAACTGCCTTAATCCAATAACTCATTTCCACTTTTTCAAAAAACTTTTAGACTGTCATAAAGAATCACCGGATGATATAATTAGACATAAATGTAATTTATTTTTGATCAAATGTGGCCAGACTGAGGTCCAGCACGGGTTCATTATTCACCATGACAGCATGATTGAGTCACTGAATGAGTGTTTGAGTGGGATTGTGAGGCAGACGGTGAAAGTGTGTTAGCGCACAACAGTAGCAGATGTGTCGGTGTGCTAGGCCGTCTGTTTTTACGTTGCACAGAATCGGGGACTTGATGAAATGGATGTATATGTTGGGAAATTAATGAGCCTCGGTCCAAGTGCCTCTGAATGCGTAAATGAACGTGTGTGAAGGTGCAGTTGTCTATGTGTGTGTGTGTGTGTGTGTGTGTGTGTGTGTGTGTGTGTGTGTGTGTATGTGTGTGCATGCTAAGGGTCCGTTCCCCAATGCCGCTGCCTGACAGGGTGTCCTTGCAGAGTCAACAAGACTAATCTGCGTTCCGGCCTTGCACTGTGGGATGGGGGGGACAGTTTACAAGAGTGGAGGACACACACATACACACACGCATGTGCACTCACACACATCTTGAAGTGTACACACCCCATTGGTGGATAGAGCCACAGCTCCCCAGGGAAGAGGCACCAATAAACCTTACATCTTTCTTTAGGTACTGTTAATACACACACACACACACACACACACACACACACACACACACACACACACACACACACACACACACACACACACACACACACACACACACACACACACACACACCATGTATACATCACTTCAGGGGACATTACATTGACTTACATGCATTTCCTGGAGACTTATCCTAACCTTAACCATAACCAACACATGCCTAACCCTGACCCTTACCCTTAAACTAACCCTAATCCTAAACCTAACCAAGTCTTCACCTGAAAATTAATGATTCCCCTCATGGGGACCTCCAATTTGTCCCCATAAGGGAAGCGAATCCCCACATGTGACTGTGTAAATAGATTTAGGTCCCCAAAGGGTAGTAATGCTAGGACACACACACACACACACACACACACACACACACACACACACACACACA